CACACCCCCCCCCCCCCCCCTTAGCTCCACAAACATCCAGCTGCAAGATTCGAGGTCTACCTCTGTGCTGAAGCAGCCCCTCAGGCAAATAGCTCAGCCGGACCCACACAGAACAGACAGGCCGGGGCAGACAAGAGCCTATTCTCGCCCTCACAATTAGCAGCAGCCACTTTCTCCTGCTCCTTGCCCTTCACAGCCACGCTCCAGGCACTCCCTTCCAGAGGCAGGGGTAAGCGCCCTCTCAGCCAGTGCCCCTCTACCTCTGTGCTGAAGCAGCCCCTCAGGCAAATAGCTCAGCCGGACCCACACAGAACAGACAGGCCGGGGCAGACAAGAGCCTATTCTCGCCCTCACAATTAGCAGCAGCCACTTTCTCCTGCTCCTTGCCCTTCACAGCCACGCTCCAGGCACTCCCTTCCAGAGGCAGGGGTAAGCGCCCTCTCAGCCAGTGCCCCCCCCAGCCACAGCAAGAAAACCTTTATTAAAACAGGTGGCCCTTTGTGGTGAGCCTTGACCAGCAGAGCAGCTGCCAGTACCCAGACTGCTTTCCCAGACACTGAATGTGGACTTCGACTCGTGTCCTTCGACTCGCTTTTCCTTTCTTCCAAGAGGGGGCTGCTGCCTATCTGTTGGCAACTGTTTTGCCCCCTAAACAGCCTTTTGTGTTTTCAATGAATAAATCTGCGGAAGGTAGCGGGAGCCGGCCTCCTGGGCAGCAGGGAGGATTTGGTGGGTGGGAGGTGCAGAAGCAAAAACCACGTAAGAGGAAACAGGCCACTGCCCCACCAGAGAAGTCCCACCGCTCTGGCATGGAGGATACCCCGCTACGGGCTCAGATCAGTAGCAGGGTCTGCTCTCCAGAGACAGCACGTGGCGGTTCCTCCCTCTGCTGAGATTGGCACAGAACTGTAGCTGCCTGCCCCTCTGCCAGGGGCACAAACAGCTTGACCCGAGCACAGGATCGTAACAGGCGGGAGCTGGTTTCTCCCTCCCCACAGTCCCAGCACCACTAGATCGCAGGTTCTCCAGCCCTCATGTCAATTGCTTATGCCCGTACAGCCTCCCCTTTTAGTCTGAGAGGCTCTGCATCCTACCAGGAGGAGAGCAAGTAGGGGAAGCAGCAGGAGATGCTGGGGGGGGGGGGGGGGAGAAAGAGTGAGGGATTGTTTTCCAGAATATGTTGTAGATTGTCAGTGATGTGCTGGAGGAGTTTAAGCTGGGGGCTGTAGGTGTGTGTTATTTTCCTTTTGGGGCCTGTCTTGAAGTAGTTGACCTCTGGGTACTTGTCTGGCTGTGAGCCTGAGCCTGCTGAAGACAATTAGCTTTATTACTACACGGGCAGAAGGCACAGCCTGCTCCCCACTCCCTTAGATCCTGGCTGTGGCCCTTGCTAGTGCTGCGGTTGCTCTGCCGGGTGCCGCCTCGCTGGAACTGGCCTTGGGCCCAGCGCCCAGGCTATGGTCTCGGCTTGGCCATGGTGGAGCGGAGCTGCTGTGAGCCTGAGCCTGCTGAAGACAATTAGCTTTATTACTACACGGGCAGAAGGCACAGCCTGCTCCCCACTCCCTTAGATCCTGGCTGTGGCCCTTGCTAGTGCTGCGGTTGCTCTGCCGGGTGCCGCCTCGCTGGAACTGGCCTTGGGCCCAGCGCCCAGGCTATGGTCTCGGCTTGGCCATGGTGGAGCGGAGCTGGAGTGTTCCTTCTGCCCAGGATCCTGGGAACTGGCGCATCTTCTGCCACAGGCTCACCTCCTCCCCTGTGGAGTCCATCCAGTCCACCACCTGGTCCTTACTCATACCTGAGGGGGCAGAGGTGAGTTAGTGCAGCACACAGCCCCCTCCCCGGAGCGCACGAGAACAGCCTCCGCCAGCCCCACAGAAAATATGGAGCAGGGGTGGTAATGCCAGGGACTGTGTGGGGATGATCATGGTCCCCTGAAATTTCAGCTTCCTAGTAGGCATCCACCTTCACGGAGGTCTCCAGGGCAAAGCTGGGGTAAGGGGGACAGAACATGAGTGACCCACCGCATCCTGCTACAGCCCTAGGAGAGCAGGGCAGCCACACACAAGGACAGCCAGGGGGCACCTCACCGTTCCCAACGCCCAGCCTGACACCTCCCAGGAAGTCGTTGCTGGACAGTGGCTCGCGGTCCCAGACAGTCAGCTCCAGACAGATGTGCTGCAGGTCCTCGGGGCTGATGCCATTGTAGACAAAGGTGTGGTTGTAGTGAGGATTCAGGGTCTTCTTCATCACAGGAGTCTTCCTCTTGGTGGCCTTGTTTCTGAGTGGCAGCAGGTAGCTGTGGGAGAAGCCCTTATATATTATATAGGTAGCAACTCCCCCCTCAAACAAAGGAGAGACAGCGATGGCCCAGGAGACTGGTAATGGGCTAAGGGGACTCAGAGACATTGTGCCCTCCACGGCAGAGATCAGCCTCTCTAGGGCAGAAGAGGGCCCAAACAGCTGGGCCCAACTGGGGTACACCCAGTCTCGAGACGTCAGCTTTGGACTTGGCCACGTCATTTGCATCTGATAGTCGTTCAGGGAAGAGCCTAGAGGATTTCAGTGCAGTTCCAACCCACAGGAATCCATTCTGGAATGTGAACAGAACAGCAGCCACAATGGTCCAGGTAGGCAGCATCCTGTCCTCCAAAGAGTGGCCAATGTCAGGTGCCTCAAAGGGCACGAGCACAGCAAACTAATCCAGTGGCCCATCTACCGGTGTCCCGTCCCAGCATCAGGCAGTCAGAGGCCTGGCGACCTGTCCTCCATGAACTTACCCAATTCTTTTCTGAATCCAGCTCTGGTTTTGGCCTTCACAACATCCCCTGGCAGTGAGTCTAAGTCCTGCCCTTTTTTTAAACCTGCTGTTAATGTCACTGCATGGCTCCCGGCTCGTGTGTTAGGAGAAGAGGTAAATAACACTTCCCAAGTCATTTTCTCCACATTTTCTAGACCTCGATCATAGCCTCCCCCACCCCGGTCATCTCTTTTCCGGGATGAACAGTTCCTGTCTTTTTTACTCTTCTCATATGGAAGCTGTTCTAGACCTTTCATCATTTTTGTTGCCCTTCTCTGTACCTTTTCCATTTGTATACCATCTTGTTACAGACGGGCGCACAGTATTCCAGGTATAGGCATACCATGGATTTATATAGGGGCATTATAATATTTTTATCTTGTCTCTTTCCTAATTGTCCCTAATATATAGTTAAGCCTCTTTTTGATTGCTGCTACACACTGAGCAGAGGTTTTCAGAGAACTATCCACACTGACTCCAAGATCTCTCTCGTCTGGTATCAGCTAATTTCAACACCATTTTGTATGTAGAGTTGTGATTATGTTTTCGGACGTGCTTTACTGTCCATTTATCAACATTGAATTTCACCTGCTATTTTCTTGCTCAGTCATGCAGTTTTGCACAATCTCTTTGTAACGCTTTACAGACCGCTTTGGATTGAACGATCTTAGTTCATCTCTGTAATGTCTGCAAACTTTGCCATCTCTGTTTATCCCCTTGATCATTTATGAATCTGTTGAACAGCACAGCCCTCTGTACAGATCCCTGGGGGGCCCAGCTGTTTGCCTCTCTTCATTTTGAAGACTGACAATTTATTTCTGCCTTTTAACCAGTTACTGTCCCATGAGAGGCCCTTCCCTCTTATCCCATGACAGCTTACTTGGCTTAGAACCTTCGGTGAGGGACTTGTCGATGGCTTTCTGAAAGCCTGTGTACACTGGGTCCACTCAGTCACCGCTGTCCAGATGTTTGTTGACCCCCAAAAGGAATACTAATTGCCTGGCATAAGTCTATTGCTAAAATCATCTACAAAAGCCATGTTGAGTCTTCCCCCAACTAATCATGATGATCTACATGCCTAACTATTCAATACTATGTTTTCAACCAAATCTGCCTGGCACTGAAATTTGGTTTACCGGCTTGTTATTACCAGGATCACTTCCAGGAGTGCTGGAACTAAGAGTGCTGCCATACTCCCTGGCTTGTAGTGGTAATAACTAGAGCCCTGCACAGTTACATAATTTGTATCCGCATTCTTATCAGCAAAAATGAGCCACAAATATCCACATCCACATCCTTGAATACCTGCAGATAGCTGTGAATTTGCAAGGCTCTAGTAAGAACACCAAATACGTAGATTCCAACATCAGCACAATAAAAATTGTTCCAGTATCCCTCATCACCTGTCCCGTTAGCTGCCCTCCAGTCATCTGGCACAGGAGCGATAGGTTACATGCCAGTCAGTAGTTCTGCAATTTCATATTTGAGTTACTTCAAAACTCTTGGGTGAATTTCGCCTGGTCCTGGTCATTCTACTGTTTATCAATTTGTTCCCAAACCCTCCTCTATTGACCCCTCAATCTGAGCCAGTTCCTCAGATCTGACACGTAAAAAGAATGGCCAAGTATTGGAATCTCCTTCACGTCCTCTACCTCAAAGACTGACACAAAGAATTCATGTAGCTTCTTGGCAATGAGTGCACTTCCTTGAGTACTTCTTTAGCACCCTGGGCATCCAGGGGCCTCTCTGTTTAGCAGGCTTCCTGCTTCTGACTAGCAAAGGTCTCAAAAATTAATACCAAAAGTTAAGTTAGTTAATTCCTCAAATCCTTGTGTGGCCTGCCTAATTATACTTTTACACTTATTTTCCTCACTAGGCTTTGACTTCCAATTTGTAAAAAAAGATGCCTCCTTGCCTGTGTCAGCATCTTTTATTCTATTTAGCCCTGGTGGCATTTTGTGAGTGATCCTTTTACTCTTTTTTAATTTGTGCTATACATTTCCTTAAAGCCTCTTTTGGGGTTTTCAAAACATTTCCATGCAGATTACAGGCATTTAAATCTTGTTCCTGTTAACAGCTGTTAAATTAGCTTGCTCATTTCTGTGCAGCGTCCCTTAGTTTTATGCTTCTGTAGTGGGTTTCTTT